GCCAGATGTTTCGCCACTAATGAGCCGCTTGTTAGTGCCAACAACACAACAGTAATTAAAATGTAATCAAAATCTTCTTTAAGCAAATCAAATGTTTTCGATGGTGCAACGCGAGTAACGAACATATCTGCAAAGGAGATAAATGAATAGTGTAAATTTCAGTTTAGAAACATTTAAAAATATAAGAATAAAATAACTAGTTTAGAACTTCATAGACACAAATTTGCATGTGCTATTTTTTAATCAAAAGAGCTTATTATTAAGGCATTTAGTAAATGCTTCTTAAGTTGGGTGGTGGAGCTCCTAATTTTCGCTTATCACTCTATTAAAAAGACGAAATTATTTTGGTGCGCTCACCTAAACCAGTCGCCAGAACCAAGCATGTACTCTCCAGTCCGCTGGGTGCGGTGAAAATATTACTCAATCGTGCAATTGTCTGATTGTAGTTGATAATATTTTCCGTTGGCAATGGCAATTCGGGAATGTAAGGTATTGCGCCCTCTTCGCGGCCCTGTGTATTAGAAGTGATTGGACGACGTGGATCAAGTAAAGCCCAAGGCATCTCAATAATAGCGCCACTCGTCGTACCGACTTTAAAGGGTAAACATTAATTTATTTACTTTGAAATATAAGCTTATAACCAAAATAAGTGCACTTACTCAACACGTGTTTATTTGTAATGCCACGCTCGGTAATAGTTTCGCGCATCGTCTCCACAATAGTGGGCACAATGTAGGACTGCCGTTCCACCATGGGCATTGGTGGCGCATTCATCGAACTCCAAACTGTACTATTAGCCTGGATTTTACCCTCATATAATTCAATTGTTGCTGTAAAAATTAGATTACAATTACCAACAAAAATACTTATAATCATAGATTTCTAATATTACTTATTTCAGTCCGACGCACTTTGTCGTTATAGTACGAATATGCAAGCCAATTTTCCGAATGCACAATATGCACTGGCACGCGCGCTCTGCGATGTGTCATAGAAAATACAATTAAACCAGAGACAGCATCGATAAGATAGGTGTTCAGTAAGTCTGTTAAATAGAGGCAAAGAAGGAAATTAAAATGAAATGCTGCTAAAATCTTTTTTTGCTTACATTTATGTGTGGGATCGGTTGCTTGTGTTATCGCAGCAATCAAATTTGGATTGATATATTTATATAGAACAGAACGATCTGCTAGCACACGTCCTTGGGAGTGCACATGCTCTAGTGGGTTTTTCGCAGCAATAGCAATTAACTGGTGATCTTCATTGTGGCCATCAAGGCGTACTTTCCAGATAGGAAGGCACGATAAGGCCTAAAAAGTAAACATTATTAAAATATCAAACCATAATAACTCATAACATAGTATACGCATTGAGCAGCACTTACACCATCGTTGAATTCTACAAAGAATCCATCAAGTGTGGCAGTGGATTTGTCGGCAGTAAACAAGTACATCTCATGTGCCTAAAAGTTTAAACATAAGCATGAATGTATGTATATAATAAAATTCTGGGAGATAAGCTAAGCTAGCAAAATATTACCAGTTCTTGCACGTATTGCGGATATACGGCGACGTTATTTTGGGCATCAAGCAGCAATAGTCCCTTAATAGACTCTTTCTCAGATTCCGCGAGCAATGTTAGTTGCTTAATTTTGTAATTCAATTTTAATAGGCCACCTTCGGCCGGTTTGCCATTAATGGGATTGAAGCGGAAGAGTACACCATTGCCAGTTGACTACAAAGAGCAAAAGCACACATTTCAATGTTTAATTTTATGCTCACAAAAGTTATAAAACTTCATATACTTTTTCCTTTGCTACAATAGTGCATAGTGGTTGCAACGGAAAGTGCTTGGATGTACGTTGTACCAGCAAACGCATTGGTTCCTGATTCACAAAATTTTGTACATCACGCAAATACTGTTGCCAATGATGTTTACCATTAATGTTATCGATGCCAAAGATTTTACCGCTACGTGTCAGCACCACCAACATTTTGTGCAACCCGAAGGAGTCACGCACCAGGCCAGCTTTTTGCGTATCACTGGGAGGTTGGCCCAAGCCAACGACGTGTAGGAAAATACTTTTAATTTGTAAAGCTTGGGTGGAGATGCGACGAAAGAAAGCGCTAGAAATATCACCTGTTGAGAAAGAGGGTTGAATCAATTTTTTCTAAAAACTCTATTGTATTTAACAATTCCGTAAGCACAAACCGTAAGATAAATAACGAAATGAAAACAAAAGCTTAAGCAATTTAACTGCACACAAACCTGACTATGGGACATTTTTAGTTTTTTATACAAAAAGGCAAAAATAGTTTATAGGATTAAGATTGGTAATATTGCGGTTTAGGACAAAACTTTGAAGAAAAAAAAAAAACGCAGCCAAATGATAAGTACAAAATCATAAATTTCAAAATCACGATTTTTTTCTTTTTTTTT